ACCTTAAATGATGAAATCAGGTAGCACTTTTCACTTTGTGCAATATTTTGTCTTCTGTACAAAAGCACGGTCATATTATTCATAATGATAATAAAGCATGCCTGGGTTGTGTTGATTAAAACTGTATAAGGATATAACTTTTTCTGGTCAGGATAGGGGCAAAATATGTCTGATAATTGGGATATGTCGTTATCGTGTGTAAAAAAAAATCGTGTGTAAATTATCGTGTGTAAATCACACAGACTTGTCACGTAGGCATATTTCATGAAGCGCGCCAGCGCTTCATGAAAAATATGCCTATGTGGAATCTGTGTGATTTACACACCAATAATTCACACTAAACTTAAAAACACTCCTTATATTTACATTTTATTTTACATGTTTAAATGCACTAAAACATACTCAGTGTTTGAATTTCTCGCTGTCCTATATCGTCATATTTTTATTAACGTCTCTGTAGCCTCATTGTGACGTCACCTTAGCGAAAGTTTCTCCGTGTATATTTCTACGCGTTAGTAAACACAAAAATGGCTTTCAAATCAATTTCACGGTTGGCTTAGTAGAAAAACACAGCAAATGTAAATATATATAAAAATATGCACTTGTGAACTCCTGATGAGGCGAGCCGTACTACGCAATCTTAATTACATGTGCTATTCAAACTGCCAAAACACTCTTAATTAGATGTAATCTGTAAGTTTGTTTGTCCCTTCGAGAATTTTTCACTCATATTGAAAGACCACGTTTTGCCGGTGGATGGCTGCAAATTAAGACCTGTACTCGGCACCCAGGGCTTTTGAGAAGTGGTTGATCTTTTTTGTACCAGCACCTACTGTGACACGGGACCCCGACTTTACGGTCTCATCCGAAGTACCGGTCTCTACGTGCAGCAGTAGGATTCGTACCCGCAATGTAAGGATTAACGTCTTACTCAACTACTCTAGAACCAACGCTTTAACTACTGCGCCACGTGGGCGACTGATCTGTAAGTAATCAACCAAACACTTAATTAAAAGTGAAGGGTTCTAATGAGTTTAAGAAACTTCTGGCTGTTCGGATTATTACACCAGTCTATTTTGGAATCAGTTCAAACACACTTGTTTCAAAATTTGGACGTAAATTTGGTAATTCTATACTATCATTTTTAGGTCACACAATAGAAGTAAGTGTAAATTGAACAGACTCAGATGAAACATGTTGACTGCAAATCAGAGAAAAAATGCAGAGTCATAAGCAGATGATACCATTCTTACAATATCGAAGAAGGACATTTTTTTCTTACAGTAACTTGTACCATTACAAATCTATTGATCGTTATTTTAATTGTCTGATGACACGACTGATAAATTGTTTATTTTATCTTATTTTTTAACATTGTCTTGGAACATTGACTATTTAATGAATTTTCTCTGTGGGACATGACTACTTTGTAGACTTTGTCTTCGTTTATCAGAGTAAGTGCCTTAAAACTCTTTATTAAAGCCTAAAATGAAAAAGGTGGGGATAACGAAAATAATCGATATCCCAATAATCAGACTACCGAGTGCATTCTGTTTTATGTTCGACTTGGAGAATTTTTTTTAGATTGTCTTAAAGCAAGATTCTGTTAAAGCACAGATAAAATAAACGAAGAAAAATGATGCTGGGATTGGTGTATCTTTTTAGACCTATTTTATAAATAGTTAATTGTCAGATATAAAATTTAATTGATTTTTTATTTATTTTGAAGAGGAAGCTATCTATCTTTTTGCCGTCACCCGTATACATACATCTTTTCATCACTTTGTAAGGCATTATTGTATAACCTTGAGTAACAAATTAATGTGGCTAAATTTATTCATTTAATTTATATAAACATGTTTTAGGAGGGTTGTCCAAAAAGTTCTTGGACAATGACGTTTTTGTCAAAATAAATGATTCTTTATATATTTATTATAAATCAAAATATTTCTTATGAAAAACCAAATCAGAATAGTTTAATTTTTATTGATTGAACTTAAATATTTTTGTAAAAATCGGGGTCTTTAAAGGTCGCAGTTAGTGCTCACGGACCAAGGTTAAAATGTCATAAATTTTGAAATAAAGTGTTCGGATTAAAATAACTAGTTTCTATATAAAACAAGCCAAAGCTTAATAAAAATTATACGTATCACAAATAAAGAGACTATAATCATTTTCTGATATCGTAAGTATCGCTTACTTTATAGACAGTGAAAATATTAAGCAAAAACTCAAAAAAATATGTGTCCAAAATTGGCAGAAAAAGCGACGTCGGTCATCCGAACGGAATAGCGTCCAGCCTTAAAATTATGTTTTAAGGAGGTTGGATCCTGCTATCAAAGTATTGAGAATTTTTTATCAAGTATATTTTTGAAATCTAGACAAATAGCTTAATTAAAAATCAAAACCAAAAATGGGGGGGGGGGGGTCAATGCACTTCTTTCGGCGCTACGGAGCATTTAATATGACCTTTTTGCACTGTAATTACGTCTAACACATTAATCAATTTTTCAAAGTTTTTCCTCTAAAATTTTTTATCCAAATAAATTATGGGAACAAATACAGTCTTTTTTCGTCTTTAATAGTCTCTTTAAAATTTGTGATAACAAAAAGTGTTTCAAATTACTTTGCATAGTCAATTATTTGACCTTTTTGTACTCAAAAAATGTCATTTTTCTGGCATTAAAAATTTAACAAGCAATAAAATCATTTGAAAGTAATGACATTTTTCTGAGTTTAAGCAGAATGGTTAAAATTATCTTGTTTATTCAGAAAATAAACTTAAAAGTGGGAGTCTGTGATGATAATTTTAGATATAACTAAAATAGTGCTTATTTTTAGACTAAAATGGGCTATTTTTTCCCCAGGACTTTCACAATATATTTGTTATATTTGTCCAATATGATGACAGAATTCAAGATGGTTAATTTAATATATTATTTAGGACCAGCATAAAACATTTCACTGCTCAAAATAACTTTGTGTGCAGGCTGTATGTAAAAATAGGAATCCCAACTTAACAATACTATAAATATTTCGAATGAGGTCTACACAAAAATCTGCTCAAAAGCTCAGGAACGAACCTCGTTAATATGGTTGAAACGACGTCAGAGACAAAATATTTGTTCAAACAACTCAAAATTGTTGGAATATATTTAGTTTGTTGATTTGAGATTGGTATATACGATTTTTCAACGTGTGTACAATTCAAGACACTACAAGAAGTGGAAAAAACATTTAATTTGATGAAAATTGATATTTCTATACATGACGTTGTTATAAATCTAGCATAACGTAGGACTGACCTGTGCTGCCTGTGTATACGAACTGCTTATATTGATAACCCTCGTAAATTATTGTGTATTGTTTTGGATTTTTAAAAATTAAATCAATTATTATCTATACATAAATATTATTGCTAGCAGTTGGCAGTGTGACATAGTAAAGAAAATGTAGCGTGAGTCCATGAACATGCGTTAAAAATTCAAAATCAAAATGTTTGACGTTATAATGAAATTAGCTTTACGTCAGACTGGGCCGCGCGCTTTGCATATACAAAATATTTACACCAGTCCTATAACACCCGTTAAATAGGGTGTATTGTTTTAATTTTTATATATTAACTACATGTATATCATGGTCTATATTAGTAAATTACCGTACACGTTTGCCAATGCGGACTTTATTAAGAAATTTATAGCATTTGTCCACGAACTTTATGGACAACCCCTATTATTTTTTATGATTTTTGAAAAAAAAGGTTTGTATCAGTTTTATCTGAGTGTCCTACTACTGTATGAATTATGTTTTTTAATTAGAGGAACTTATAACTCAACTGTATGATTTAGTGTTTTTCTTAAGCCCGGCTATAAGTATTTTCAGTAGTGTGAATTTAAAAAGAATCTTGAAATCACTTGTAAACCAGGGTGGTTTTAGAGAGGGCCTGTTAAAAGTAATTTATATGTCTTCAATTTGTCGAATCACTTTTTGCAGTCATTTTATCTATCCTGTAAAAATGATTAAAAAAAAAATAATACATAAACAGTTGCTCAATTTATCTTTCAGCTTATTTTGAAGGATATTACATGCTTTTTTGAAAGTCTTGCTTCTATTATCTTTAATCTATGAAATATGCCTCTAAAGGCCAAATGAATTAATAGATATTTTTATAGTTTAGCAAAATCAAGGAATTATATCTTGGTTAAAGGAAGAGAAGGTGAAGAATCTACTGAGGGTTTCATAAACTGGCATTGTGGTAAGAGGAATGAAAACTCTTTACACCAGATATAGAATTAATGGTCATACTATTGACGCTCATTTAAACGCTGTTATGTGACGTCACGCATTTTGTTTTCAATATTTAGGCGGAACCGGAAGTTGATTTTGTCATAAAATCATTAATTTGTCGACGATTAATTCGATATCCACTTTATTAATATTCGTGAATTTTCAGGATATACTTTTGCTGATTGTATTTATAAGCTCTTTTGTATAAATGACTCCCCAGAACTCAAAATTTATTTTGTTTTATAACATTTTTGTTAGCTTACACATGGGATGGGGGGGGGTTATAAAATTCAATATATCCCCAGTCACACAATCACGTTTTCCATTCAGCTTTTATTGGCCCAAAATAGCTATATTTATAATGGTCCTCACAAGTGCGACACCTAAGTAAAACTGTTTCAATGTACATATTGAATCATAAATCACATCAAAAGATTTTATAGGAGATTCTATAAGAACTAGAATATTTTTTTTCTGTTCCAATAGATAGCATCAGAAAACAATAAAACCAAAACCAAGTAAAACAGTGTTTGAGGAAATGTGAAATTAATTTTGATCTGGATTGAGTCAACAGTAAGTAGAAAAACAATTTAGCAGGGTTTTCCGCCACTTATTTCTCTTCCATCCTGGTCATATGAAGGATTTTCACAGAATTGAAAGGAGAAAAATACAACAGTTGAAAGCGAGTGTATTATTTTAACCCAACAGAAGGGAATGGAGATTTCGGTGGATATATCAAACGAGGATTTCATTTATCATTTACCAAATGCCATTATTCTTGTGTGTTACATCGTTCTAGGAAGTCTGGGGAATGTTTCCGTACTTATAGTGTACATGAAAGACATGAAAAATGTCTTTAGTTCTGGACGCCTTTTTATTCCGTTCCTGGCTTTTGTTGACCTTATTACACTTAACTACAATGGTTGGGTAGAATTTGCATCAGAAGTTCAGCAATTCCATGAGTCCAAGGACAAAGAATTGGCATGTAAGATCAATAAATTCATTGGTCTTATTCTGGTTATAACTTCCGGTTGTATTTACTTCGCCATCGCAGTCCACAGGTATATCTTAATTTGCAGACCCCATAGTAAAGAATTTACACTGAAAGTTAAAATCGCTGTCATGGTCACAACAGTACTTTTTATCGTGGGAGTGTCTGTTCCAAATTATATTTTCTCTGGATTCACTTCAATTTCGATAAAGTCGAAAAGATTTAGAAATGAAACAGAGACCGTCTTTATATGCGGCACGGACGAACACTTTGAAAATGCTACCAGCTCAAATGCATATCACTACATTTTGACGGTAAATTCTCTCATCTGGAGTTCCTTAATGGCCATAATTTATATATTAGTGGGCAGAAGAATACGCCAAAGAATAAAAGAAACATGCCCAAAACCTCACACAAAGGACGATGACACAATTTCTAGTGCCACAGATTCGGCAAATCATGGCCGTATCCCCGATCATTCACAAAGGCAGAAACCCAGACTTGTGAAACAAATAACAGCCAAGTCTATCACAACATTCATCACCAACAATCGTCTATCCTGGATGTTTATTCTGATGACTGTACTCAATGTTGTATGTTATGTACCGAAGCTGATACTGGATATTCATTTCAATAGAGACCGGTACTTCTTCATTGGAAAACCTATGTCACTCTGTTTACTGCTAGTGTTTTTTGATAACTTCTATCTTTTTAACAACGTAGTTAACCCGTTCATTTATGGGTTCTTTGACAAAGAGTTTAGAAATAGATTTAAGAAGAGATTTTGTACATACTGTAAGTGACAATTATAAGACATATTATGGTATACAGGGATAGAATTGCCACAACTTATTTTGAAAGTCTGTAATCTATGAATTTTTGGGCAATTCGAAATACAGCACAATAACTGTTATAAATGGACTTACAATATTGACTACTAATTTATTAGAACGATCAACTTTCAAAATATTTTTATTCTATAGTCCAAGTATTTATTTCACTGTAGCACAGTGAATATTTTCAATAGTTTGTCCTGTACATCAATAGAGAAGAGCACCAATATTTGACAGAAAAAAAAGTTATCGTAGACATATTTTTTACTGATGTGATTGAAATGTTCTTTATAAATATATAAAAGGAATTACTTTTTACTAAATTATTTGCAGTAAATTGTGCAAGAAATCCCTCCAGTAAAATTTTTGTAGCTAACAAGTATGACGATTTTTTTTTGCGTTGACAAGGATGCTGGGGTTTTTGGCGCTGTCAAGGATTCTGGGGTTTTGGCGTTGACAAGGATGCTGGGGTTTTTGGCGCTGACAAGGATTTTGTTGTTGTTGTTGTTTGCTCTGAGAAAGATTTTGGGTTTTTTTTTCTTTTGACGCAGACAAGTATGATGGCACTAACAAGGATTTAGGTTTTTTGGCGCTGACAAGGAATTTTGGGTTTTCCAGTCTTACTATATTCATCTAAGCTGACATATAAATACACGTATTTCCCTACATGATATTTAGCAAGAATAGTAACATTCACAGAATTTTAGAAAATAATGAAATAAAATACAACAATTAGGATATTCATCCAATTGATGTAAAAAAAAAAAGAGAGATATAAGACTGGCCTTTGTAAGGTTTATTAAATCAGTAGGTATAAATAGGAGATTATTATCGTGGATTTATCATCCGTATATGATAAAACACTTCACAGGCTTCAATGAAGTGCTCTGTGCCACTTTTTAACATCATTTTTGAATGGTGGTACTAGAGTATATGTCTGTACTGAACTGGATAACATTCAGCCACAGATGATTATTAAAGGTTCTTAATAAAATGTGGAAAATGTATCAAAACTGAAATATCAATCACTTCTCATTAATTATTTCAATCTTGAAATAACTGTTTTAATATTTTTCATATTATGATGAAACATACATTGCACAATATTGTGTCCAAATTTCTTAACCACGTAGTATAAGTGTTAACATTAATCATGGTACTAAATCTTCTTATCAAGGAAATTAATAAATAGGATGAAATCAGAAATTTGACTACTCTAGTACTGACACATTTTCGAGTTGTAATTTTATGGTGGCATATTTCCGTCCCCAACACGTGAGATAAATTTTCGTCAAAATACGAGGAAAGAATGTCGACTTCTACATACACGCTAATTTTACGTTACTAAGCGGGATACCAATCTTTTTGGAGAATTTGATTTTTAAAATGGATAAATTCTCTTGGAAACACCAGCCTAGACTGAGTAAAAGCGTAGCTGTTATTATTTCACATTTAAGCGTTACGGATAAAGTCAAAGTTACTAACAGTGTTTTACAGTTAATAATCATAGACTAATGTAACAGTGTATGGAATGACACAACACTCCTGTCAGGGTTCAACATTTATGGCATACACTGGAGTGAGTTATATGAATGGAGAAATGGAACATATGAAATATATATATGGAGATAACGAACAGTATTCAAGGTCAAAAGTCCATCAAACAATACAAAATAGGAGCAGAGCAAACACGGACCTCCAAACATCAGAGGTGGGATCAGGTGCCATCGATGAGTGAGCATCCCCTGCCGACCGGTCACACCCGCCGTGTGCTCCTTGTCATGATCGGGAAATAACGGAATCATTAAAATAATTTGAATCATTATAATAGCCCTGTAAATATCACAAGACAGTAAATGTAATGCAATAATTTTACATATTTTGTTCATAATTTTACATAAAGATAAAGATCATCAGAGGGAGATAACTCTCGATTACATAAATCTTTACATATTTCTTTTATATTGCTTGTTTGTTTTCTGTTGTTTAACGTCCTCTCGAGAATTTTTCACTCATATGGAGACGCCACCACTTGCCGGTGGAGGGCTAAAAATTTTGACCTATGCTCGGTACTAAGGGCCATTGAGCAGTGAGGGATCTTTTTCGTGCCAACACCTACTGCGACACGGGACCTCGGTTTATACAGTCTTATCCGAAGGACCGGTATCTGCGCCCAGTAGTGGGTTTCCAACCCGCGATGTAAGGATCAACTCCTTACTCCGCGACTCTAGAGCAGACGCTTTAACCACTGCGCCACGTGGGCGACTATTTCTTTTATAATATAGTCATAAAAATTATCAATTTTAAAAACATATTAATCTCACTACTCTGTGTTAATAAAAGTGTCTATGAATGGTGATGATAGACTCTGTAATTTAATATAATGATATTTAAAAATAAAATAATGTCTTTTTAAAAATATATCAATTGCTCGCTTTGAACAATGTCGTCAGAAAAGAAAAAACAAAACAAAAAACCCCCGCATATCTGATTTACATCAAATTGCTTCCATCAAATACTTCGTATTGATCTTATAGTCAATAAATAAATATGTATCATTAAAAAATTACTTTCTCTAATATTCATTTATTAGTCCCCTACCGGTGAAACCGGAGGGGACTATAGGTTTCCTCTGAGTCTGTCCGTCCGTCTGTCCGTCCGTCTGTCTGTCTGTCTGTCTGTCTGTCCCTCTGTCTGTCTGTCAGTCTGTCCCACTTGGTTTTCCGCACTTTTTTCCTAAACGCTTGCAGATATTGAGCTGATTTTTGGTATGTGAGTGTATCTTGATGAGTTACAGATCAAGTTTGCATTTCGTTCCGCTTCATTGATTTTTGACGGAATTACAGCCTTTTCAATTTTTAAGGGTTTTCCGCAATTTTCTTCTAAACGCTTGTAGATATTGAGGTGATTTTTGGTATGTAGCTTTACTTTGGTTAGTTATAGATCAAGTTTGCATTTCGTCCCGCTTTATTAATTTTTGACGGAATTATGGCATTTTCAATTCTTAACGGGAACCAGATTACACTTGCCGGTAGGGGACTAGTATTGCTAATGCAATACTCTCAGAATGCTTGTTCAATTTAGTGAGTGCAAATGGAAATAACTTTTGCATACTATGGGATTAACATTTTAAATATAAAAGAAACTTACCAGAAAAGGAAATCTTCAGTCAAAAGTCAACAAGGTCTTTGTGTAAATATATGTATTGCATGATCAACCATAGAACAAAGAATGGTTAGAATAAGCAGGAAAAACTCAAACTAATATAGAAAACCGATCGAATATGTCCACTTCAAAAGACCTGACAATACCATTAGGTAGATTTATATATAAGTATGCACAGATATGGGTAAAACTATGGGGTGGATCTAGGTTTTGAATAACAAATTTAAATAACTGGTAAGAGTTAAAATATATATTCTGGTAAGTTCTTTAATTTTATTTTGTACAAATCCAACACTATTAAAATAAGTAGAAGCACAGCTGTTATTGTTTTCCATGTAGCGTTCCGGATAAAGTAAAATTTTAACAGTGTTTTACACTCAATCGTCATGGATTAATTCAAGTATAGCTGTAATTGATTTACAGTCAGACCAAAGTATGACAAAATAATACCGTTAAGTAAATGTACGCTATGAGACGACGGGTCAAACACTAATTAAAATAAACAATAAGCTATGAGATGATGGTTCAGAGATTGGGTAAACTGTATGCTATGAGATGACGGGTCGGAGACTTAGTAAACTGTATGCTATGAGATGATGGGTCAGAGCCTAAGTAAACTGTATGCTTTGAAATGATGGGTCGGAGGGTGAGTAAACTGTATGCTATGAGATGATGGGTCAGAGACTAAGTAAACTGTATGCTATGAGATGATGGTTCAGAGACTAAGTAAACTGTATGCTATGAGATGATGGTTCGGAGACTAAGTAAACTGTATGCTTTGAGATGATGGTTCAGAGACTAAGTAAACTGTAAGCTATGAGATGATGCTTCAGAGACTAAGTAAACTGTATGCTATGAGATGATGGTTCGGAGACTAAGTAAACTGTATGCTATGAGATGATGGGTCGGAGACTAAGTAAACTGTATGCTTTGAGATGAAGGTTCAGAGACTAAGTAAACTGTATGCTATGAGATGATGGTTCAGAGACTAAGTAAACTGTAAGCTATGAGATGATGGGTCGGGAACCAAGTAAACTGTATGCTATGAGATGATTGGTCGGCGACTGAGTAAACTGTATGCTTTGAGATGATGGGTCGGAGACTAAGCTTCTTAAGGAATGAATGTAATAGCTACCAATTTGAAAGTTATAGTCTGGTACCCTTCCCACAATTCCGTTCGCGCACTCTCTCAATCTAGAGAGTGCGCGAGCGGAAATGTGGGATGGGTACCAGACTACCAAAGTTATAGTATATAATCTGGGTTAGGATAGTTTGCATAATATAAACCGTAAAGCTGTTTATAAAAAAGCATAAACTATTTCATCCCAAGTTACGAAGCATGACTAAGAACCCTTTATACACTGCACACGAAAGAGTTCAAAGCTTTTGGTATTTTTGTGCAATTAGAGAGACCTGTCCTCAGATCAAAAATGAAATCAACTCACCGTATATGAAAATATTATTTGTTTAGTTTTGGTTTAAAGTCATTTAGACTGTTTTAGTGTTATTCATATAGTGCATATAGCTTTATACACTAATATGTACCAAAAATAGTTACCGTGACAAAATATCCATTTCTTACAAATTTAATTAGCTCATATATACTTTTAGATAGAATATTCTATTAAAATGATAATGTCCTACGGACTCAGTTAAACTATAGAATGCGTATTGGCAAAACAAACATGGGCGATAACTCTCACTCAGTGCATATACAATGAACAATCCGGAGAGTTCCGTATGTCAACATGGCGTGTAAATTTGAAGCGAGTAAAAACGTTGAGAAAAAGTATTGAATTATACCATAATATGGATTTTTTTTTGGGGGGGGGGGGGTGTATCCACAAAAGGTTTGTTGTGACTGATTTGACGATTTAATTGCGTCCAAATTCGATCGGTTCAATTCGGAGTGATTCTGCAATTTTCTGCTATATATATGGGAGATAATCTAACTGTGGCGAGGGCCTGTCCCAAAACACAGTTTGATTATTCTAACTAATGTATATTGTCCTTACTATATACGTATACACCTGATCAAATCCATAGATTTTAAATCTGACTGAAATTAAAATTAAACAGATAGA